CTAACTTTTCTGAATCGTGGATGCCACCTATTGGATGGGTAAAAGAGTGCAATGACACCAGACCTGCCACAACGATGGATTCACCTGTAACCTGAAGATGGGACAACATCACATTTTGGGGATGACCAATAAGAAGGCACAAAATCATGACAATGATCTTTCTGAGGGATGGTTCAACTCATCAGTCCATCTGAATGGAAGAAGAATGCATAAAAGATGCACCACCACCAGTTGAGTAGAAGCAGCCTCATTTGAAGATCAACAGATCCTGAGTGCAGAGTTGTCTTGATCTCACCCAGAGAGAGTGGCTACCCACTTCAAGCAAGGAATGATTAGTCATTTGAGTTTCTTTAAATGAGTCCTTCACAGACAAAAACCTTTGGGTTTGGCTTCTGGGCCCAAAATTCCAACTATAAGCCCAGCTTGGGAAAGAGGAGGCTTTCCTGAAGATCAGAGACACTGAGAAGATCCCACCACTACTAGAGAAAACTCCAAAGACAGCTGAGTTAAGGCTGAGACTATCCTAATCTGCTCAAAGAGTGGAGGGACTGGGAAATCAATATTTACTGCTAAAATATTCCATAGGGAAATTCTGCACTTCAAAGGTAACACAGAACTTGGCCTTGGAGAGCAAACATTTTGCTAACTTTTGTTATGCGCTTTGTCTTTGAGAGACATCCTCTCTTCTCTGTGCAAATTGACTTGGATGGCACAATCATCCCCACTGCATCCAACTCCAGCTTTTCCAGACAGTGCTCACTTTGCCTGACTTCAGCTTTCCCCTTACACACTGCTTGACTGAACGGCTTCATTATCTCTCACCATTTTAAACACACATTAACACACAGAGCTAGAGGTACACCATCCACTCTGTATTGTTATAACAATCTTCAGCTAGGTGTGTGTACGAACACTCCATGACTTTAAGTAGTAATGTCCAATGATCTTGATATTTATCTCTTTGAATCCTGTGCTTAGTCCTAGAAATACCACTTTCTTGAACCAGGATTAAAACAGAATTGCTAGTTTACTTTACTAGCCTTTCACTGACACTGCTCAGCAGAATCCTGTCTATCTTGTTAGCTTGTATCTTGATTTTTTCCCCTGTAGTTTATATTTTTGGGCTTAGACAGATTAGATTTTTGTCTGTAAATGTGGATTTCATCATACACACAAACTGATGGAAAAAACATTTCCCTCTACGATAATGTAAACTTTACAGTGAGGCCAAGTAAGAAAAATGCTGCTTGAGGACTTAGGACATCTGTCATTAAATAATTCACCCCCCCATTGTCTGCCCTTCCATAATTTCCTGCATCTGTGAACATTTAAAGAGATAAAAATAAGAGAACATAAAATAAATATATTAGCCACTGAAATTATAAAAAAAAATCGGATTCAGCCAAGCCTAGATATTTTTTATAATAAGTTGAAGTCTAGTATTGTTTTGTGACATAGTTTAATTTATATCTGGTTATATGGCAGTAGTCCTTTAATTATGGACATTGAATTATGTTACCGGTGCCTGACGACTATCTCAATTGAATAGAAATACTCTTTTGAAGCAACAGCATTCCAAGTAGACAACTGAATGCCATTGTGTTTATACTCCCATCGTATTAGTCCTTCGGACATAGCTAATCAAATTATCTTTTTTTAATTTCCTTACATTCTAGAATTTCCCACTTGACTAAGATGTTGCTCTTTAAGCATTAATACCTGTTTATACTGTAATGATTTACATACTCTCTTCTGGTGGCTGGTTTTGTTTTATTTTTGTCAATAATTTTTCAAAATCAAGTTTCCTCTGTTAATTTTGGTTGGCATCTGCTAAATTCTAGGAAAGTAACTCTTGTTGACAGAACATAGGATCAGCTCTCTGGAATAATCTCATAAGTAATGATTATCAATACTTCCATCTGTTTGTGTTTTATTTTCGCTGAGCTAGTCCTACGAGAATCAATTAGTTAATAAGTCCATCTAATTGACTTTTTTTGCAGCTTTCAATTTTGATTTGGGTTTTTTGGTGACTTTAACTTTACAATTACCTGGCACTTCACCCTGTGTCAGCCTCTCCAAGGGAAGAAAGGAATTTAGTTTCTGCTGCTAAGGGCTTCGTAAGATGTGGGAGAGACCCGGTGTGCAACATGCTGGATGAATTGAAATGGGTGAATGCCATAAGAACTACCCTGAAGACCAAGAAGTCCTATAGACAGAGACTTGTAATAAACGGTGAGGTCACATTTATCTGTGCTGTGTGTTTAGGAAAGGCTGGTAGGTAAAGCAGAAGCTTCCCAATTTAGATCCACTGGACTGCTTGACTGTAGCTGGAAAAGAGTATCTGTGTCTTTTGATTTATGGGATGATTCTGATTCTCTGTACAATAAATATTTCAAGTCTGGGATACCTGGTAACAAATCCATGGCCACCTTGGACTGGATGGCTACAGCAGCAACAGAGAGCACATTTCCTGTTTCAAAGGCAAGGTACCAATTGTACTGAAGGGAATTTCCATTATCTGCTAGCAATATTGGGCCTATGACCTACAGCTGAGCTATTCTGGTTTCATTGAAGGGCAATGATGTGTATGTACACACTCACCAGTTCTTTTCAGTGGTACATGAAACAAGACCCTTATTGTTCTGGGTAATGTGTTCACAACCTAGGAGTTCTTAAGCAACTCTATCAAACTACAGTGTTAAAGGATCCCCACAGTTACGTCTACTAAGGATTGTGTAGCTTGTGTAATAACACCCCTGGAGAAGTTGTTTGTAGGGACTAATCTTGGGAACTGCAGAGCTAAAAGCATAAGCCTCTACTGCTTGAGCTAAAAGACCAACCAAATCTGTCAGCTCAGAAGCAGTAGCAGGCTCATAAACCACTAAGCACGATCTAGCACTAGAGAGGGACAAAGACCATAGCGAGTTAGTAGAGGTTCTTCTAGGATAAATCTTAGCAAAACCACTAGAAGCAGGTGTGTGTGAATAGAGACTAAGCAGACTGATTATTGTTTAGGGTTCAAAAGAAACAAAAATCTTGAATGTTTTCTGCACAAAGGAAGTGGAACTAACACCTGAAATCACTGTCATCTGAACCTGCCGTGGACACGGTCAATATATTCTCTGCCTTTACTGCAGTGGTTTTAGTTTTCTTTTTCCCATTGCTAGAAGGCGTCCTGTGGAGCAAATAACCACAGTTTAATGGGCTGTACAGAAGTGATGAGTTGGGATGTTGTTGCACACAGAGTGTGTCTGCTGGCCCTGACCCTACTAACAGTTGGAAGAGAGTTTGGGTGAACGCATAATTAGACCCGCAGCTTCCAAGGATATAAACAATGGCTAACTAGGCTTGAATAAATCACCCTAGCGATGATCAAGGTTTCCAAGGCTGACGAAACCAATTAGCTTTCTCTGTTACATAGAGGTAAAGTGAGTTCATTGGCTGACATGTGAGCGAGGAAATGATGGTTTATTTAGCTTAATGGCTAAACCTGCCTTTAGGGGGAGAATGAAAAGAAGTCATACATCAATCATGAATATCATCTGGTACCCTAGCAGCTTATTGGCAAATGCTGTAACCTAAGTACAGAGATGTATGGGGAAAAGCACTGACAACCACGACTGAAGGAATGGTCCCTGGGAAACAAGGGATCCTACTCAACTGGTAGGCTGAAGGCAACATGCTGCTTCGGAAAGTGATGGGATCTGGCTGCGCCCTCTTCCTATGAGCTGCACTGGTGTCTTGGGAGGAGAGAATCCAGATATCTTTCTGCCTGCGAGATTTTGGCTAATGGACAAATGTTGGCTGCTGCTACTCTGCACTGTGCTAGAGAGCACTGCTCGCTGCTGTGATTGAAATGCCCATCTAAGCTATGATAGCCCCACTTTTCTGACCACTTAGACTTGCAGGGGTAGTCCATAGGCGGACTGTGGGCCAAATCCGGACCGCCAGACACTTTTGGATGGACTGCAACATCTTTTTATTTACTTATTATCACCAGTATTGTTATTGGTTTTGTGTTCTTTTTCTCCTGAGTCTGGACCTTGACGATACCTTGACCGAGGAATTTGGACCGTGACAAAAAATAATTGAGTGCCCCGGTTCCTGATCTGGAATGCCTTGTCTCTTGGGCCACCGTGACCCGAGACCTTAAACCAGTGGTTCTCAAACTTTTGTACTGGTGACCCTTTTCAAATAGCAAGCCTCTGAGTGTGACACACCCTCTCCCCCCCGCTCCTTATAAATTAAAAACAAATTTTTTTAAAATTAAAATTTTTATATATATATTTAACACCATTATAAATGCTGGATGCAAAGTGGGGTTTGGGGTGGAGGCTGACAGCTCGCGACCCCTCATGTAATAACCTTGTGACCCCCAGAGGGGTCCCGACCCCCAGTTTGAGAACCCCTGCCTTAAACTACGTGCATTAGGAAATTCTGGCCTCCAAGGGAAAATACCAAATTCTGACATGCTTAGCTTTCTGGAGCAGGGTGTGTGGTGTGTGTGTGACTGTTTCAGCTCTTCCAGGTGGTCCTCCAGAACCCTCTTAATGTCCCCCCTTCTGTTCTCCTCATCCTGCTTCAGTTCTCAGGGCAATGCAACCTGCCTTCTGGCACAGGGGGGGCTTTGCCTCCCTTCAGAGCCACTCATTGCTGGTCCTTCATGTGGCCAGAAGTGAGCACCATGAGACCTACTCCCAGCCCCTGGTAAGTCCGGCACAGCAGTCTGAACTTGAATCCCCCTGCCTGGCAGTAACTAGGCTGTTGTGCTGGGTTTTTTAATAAAGCTTCTGTATGTTTAAGACTGTTAAAGTTGTGACACAAATTAACACAGCTCACTGGTAAAATTGCTCATCCACCCATAACTCTGTTGTTTGCTGTTCTTCCCCTTCATGAATTCAGATAGGTCAGACTTGGCTTTGAATTTCCTGCCTAGCATTGGACAATGTCACAACCCTGATGTCTGAGAAGTAATTGTAGTGCCTTTAATTACTTTATAGCCCCTCCGTCTTGGTCTCCTGCTGCCGACTTGGTCTCCTGCTGCCGAGAAGCGCTGTCTGACTGAAACACTAACAAAGCTTCCCCAGAGCTGCATTTGGCGAGAGGGTTCAAAGGTTAAAACCGCTTGCAGAACACAGCTTGCTAGAGAGTTCCAGCACTCGCGGCTTCAGGTGGCAGCACACAGTAATTGTTCTGACTAGTCCCACCAATAAATCCTTGGAGACAAGAGCCAACTTCAACAGGGAAAAACTAGGCTGTCCACTTAACACACCCGGTCTCTGCCACCTAGCCAGAGGCATCAGGTAAGTACTGAGATGTTGGTCATAACATCGGCCAGTACTTCTTAAACTTCATGCATCAACATTCACAGGCTTCCTTCCTATCTTCAAAGCTGCAATGTAGTGGCTCTTGTGTGTAGGGGGGATGTTGCCCTGTAGTGGTGGGGCCTACAATAGGCTTGGGAACCTAGTCGCTTTCCTTTAACTCCGGCAGTAAAGACTTAGTGTGTTCTTGGCTCTGGTTCTAGTCCTGGCTCTCCTTAGGATTGCCTGCTTTTCCTGTAGCTCAGTCCTCTAGCTTCCTACAGGGACCAAACTTTTTCTCTTGCTCTCTTCCCTGACATGATCCGTCTCACGCAGCTGCGTTTTGTCGAGGTGGCTTCTCTTTCTTCCGGCTGTAGGTCCACGTCTATTCAGTGTCCTGGTTGGCCCTTCCAAGTGCATGATTTTTCTTCCTGTTTCCACAGGACTTGGGCACAGATTATACTAGTTAGAAACAGAAATGTACCTCTTAGATCACAGGAGTTGCTGTGAGGCTGGGGACCTAGTCTCCTGACAGAAGGTGCGTTGGATGCTCCACTTATTCCAAGCCCAGAGGACACTTGGGAGCTGAATTCTGAGCTGAGAGTTAAGCTGAAACACTGTGACACTTGAACACAGAGTCCAGCTCTCTGATAGGCACAGCCCTGCTGATGGGGCCTTGCAGAGCTGCACAGCCCCTGCAGGAGCATGGGGGCGCTCCCTCCCAGGTATACAGGCTGGGCACTGACACAACCCTTCCCTGTGTTTTTCCAGCTGGGCTGCGCTAGGGCGTGGGAGGTCATGTCCTGGTCTTAGCCTTACCCTCTTTGGGGTGGCTGTCATCTGCAGGGGGACTGGCCGGGCTTGACTCCCATGCATGGGGCTCAGGGGGTCAGAGGCTCTGTAGGCTGTGTGTGGTCGCCTAGCAGCTGGGCCCTTACTGGTCTGGGATGATGCCCATCACTGTGGTACTGGGTAACTTGCACTGATTATAAACAGTGAGAAACAAGAAGTCCCTTTTAAAATAAAGGGCCTCTGATAACCCCGCCTCCCCCATTGTAAGAATGGGCCACCTATCTGTCAAAAGCCTGGCTGGATAGGTCAGATAAGTCTGACACTGTGCCCCACAGCTTCTTGCCAGACCCAGGACGGTCAGGCCACAGAGCACCGCTTCCAATGATGCAGAAGCTCCAGCCTCGGGACTAGTGATCATGCCCTGTGCTGCGGGGTAAAGGGGTCATCCTTCAGATGAGCCACAGAAAAGGAGACCTCCTGCCTGGTGACAGATCCTGTGGCACTTTCTGTAACACGCCGAGGACAGCCAGGCCAAACTCGTGGCCAATAAACAAAACTGTCTTTAAGGGTCAAGGCTGAGTGAGCTATTGTTGGAGACATAATGGCTGCTCTGTTTCCAGGCACAGTAACTGAATGACAAGTATGCCACTGATTTTTAGGACGGTCCAGTGTAAAGCAAGCTGGGAACCTGTACGGAGAGGCTTCACCCTTTCCCCGCCAGCTGCCAGTCATTAAGATTCACATGCGTAAGGGCACTGGCAGTAGATTAGTTTTGTAATGAGCGACGAGGCTTAGAAAGCTTTCAGTGCATGGGTGCCAGGAGCAATGCAATGGCCACTAATAGACAGAGGGCCAGGATGGCGCACTGACCTCTGTTCGGCTGGAGTGATACGTGTGTGCGGGGGGGGTGTTCAGCTAATCTCCTCCCTGATGGGCTAATCTACCCTCCCTGCTTCCATCCTGGCTGGCCTGCTCCCTCCAGTGACCTCTGCACTGGCTCCCCCCATAGCTCGCTGGTACGCATGGGCCTCTGCCACAGGGCAGCGCGAGCTCGTCTGACCTGGCTGGAAATCACATCCTGCCTTGGGACCGTTACATCACTGGAGAGGGTCAGTCCCGTCCGCTCGTCACACGATGCCTCTGCCTGGTTTCTCTCTGCGCACGGCAGATGCTTTGGGGAGGTACCTGGGTAGCGTGGCCATTGCACTGTGTGTGCTGGCTGTATTAAATCTGCAAGAACCTGCACTGTTAAGGATGCGGGGAGGGGAAATCAAAAGCAATTAGAAGAAGATACATTACCCAGTACCTCCAGTGCAGCTGTTTCTGGGGAAATAAGGCCCTGACTACTGGGAAAGCAAATGGTTTCTGTTGCACCTAGGAATAGGATAAAAGACCCCTTCTGAGTACTCTCCATGTCGTACCACTTAGAGTGGGTTGTGCCTACATTGATATGTTGCCTCTAGCGGGACAATGTGCTCAGAATGTCAGGATTGAAGGTGTATATCATGCAGGTCGATGGCTACCCCATGACCTTGCACAGAGGGAGGGCAGCTGCTTATTCTTCGGGTACCTTCGCTCTTCCACAAGTGACAATAGCTGGGGATAGTTAAAGTGTAATTGTGTCTTTGAATTGCTTTGATTCCAGAATTTGAAAACACAGCGTTTCTCCTGTGAAGTCATTGCCAGACATTTATCATTTATTTCATCTTAAATCAAGTTCTGTACCTGGGGCTTTTCCTGACCCTGCCTCCTCTACTCTCTGTGGAACTACTTACTTGCTACAATGTGAAGTAATCTACCCTAGATGCTCGCTGTGTTAATTACTGCATCTTGGCCTGCTCCTTTTGAAGAAGGATGGGGCAGCTCTTGCAAAACTGTTCGCTGGCTTAAAATCTTAGTAAAAGGAGCAGGGTTTGAAGGGCTCTGTGCTTATAAACTGGAACAATGGTGATGCTATATTAATAGTAAATAGAATTATCTGGGCCGAGGGGGTGGAGCTCTGTTAACAGAGGAGGAGGGAGAATTCTGTAATTGTTCTAAAATGCTAGAATCCCTGATCTGCTCCTTGTAATCAATGCTCAGCATGAAGACCCAAAGACTCTTGGAGGGACACAATGAAGTAGTGATGGAATCAATAGACTATACCTGTGAATGAAAAATAAATCTAGGGTAGGGAATACTTGCACTTGCTGCAGATCAGTAGGGCCAGGGTTGTTAGCTAATTGGTTGACTGAGCTACTGGCAATTAGGTTTGAATAGCCAGGGAGACCTGATTTAAAAACCAGAAGGGGGGAAGGGGGCGACTTTCTGTGAGGGGAAAGGAGGAAAAAAGAGCAATTCTGGTAACTGCCATCCAGTAAATCGAACTTCGGTCTCTAGTGAAAAAAAACAAACAGTGGCTCAGCTCCTGCGAGCAGGAATGTTTGTTTCCATTATTCCCCAGGCGCTCTCATGAGCAGGAAGCTGCAAGAGACCAGCTACGCCAGACAGCAATGAGCTTTTTAATGTTGATCGAATTACAAACTGTTGACTGATGGGTCTCAGGGACGTAACAGAGTTGGAGTCTGTCACAGCATTTGATAGGGCTCCCCAAAGTTAACTGAGACGGATGGCATCTGAACACTGTCCCACTGACCCTGAGGACTCTTACTCTCACGCGACTGCAAGAACAGGCATGCCCAATGATTTCGTTATGCTTTTTGGCGTGGGGGTGAGTTTTGAAAGTCAAAAGGGGTGATTAGGCTCCCAGGTCCTAACTAAGGCAATGAGAGTTGGGTGCCCATCTGCCCAGGGTGCCTTTGAAAAGCTCCTCACTATCTACCTCCCTTCCAGACGGAGTAGGCTGAGTCTCTAATTTCTCTGAATGGAATGCACCTTTGGTGTCCTTCAGTTGCTCTTCCCTGGACCTCCTCTGCTTCAATTGGGAGTCGAGAGAGGAGACAAGCGGTGAGAACCCAGAGTGTGAAACTAGTTAGGTGGACATTCATGTCCAGTGTATTTGAAACAGGCTGCTGGAAGCAGCCCACTGGTACCAGGTTCAGCGATTGCCTGTAGGCCCCGTGGGGATTGCCTGCTCATAGTGTCTCTCTCCTCAGAAAGATGAAGAAGCGCTATTTGATAGTTGGGATTCTGACTGGCTTCCTGGTGGGCCTGGTCCTTTTCTTGGGGTTTTTCTTCGGACTGCGCTCAGCTCTGCAGCCCCCAGCGCAGGATGGACATCTCTACAAGAAAGCAGCTGTAGCCACGGATGCTGGGCCGTGCTCAATAATTGGAAGGTATCTCTCTTTACTCATGTCCGTACATTCTCTTAGCTATTGTTACAAGTCAAGGACCCAAACTCTTCTATTTGCTTTCGCTCAGGAACTGCTCTGCTCGCTCTCTGCCTGTGGCATGCACTAACTAGTGCTCTGTAATCTGTCATTAAGGTCAGGATACCAAAACGGAGGAGTCTTGCAATGCTTGGTTTGCTCTCCATGCCTGGGAAACATGGTTGCTGGCAATCTAAGCTATGTACAATGGGTCCACAAGGATGGGAATCGCATAAATGACTGAAATAAACTTTTCAAGCTGCTTTTAAAATCCATTTTTCCAGTCTCCATGGGGATTTTCAGTGGCCAATTCCCACTTTACATTTAAATGGGAACTGGACATCTAAATGCCATAGGCAGCTCTGGAAAACCTCAGCAGGGTTTTCAAGCTGATCTTAATGCAGATCTGTCCAGCCCACACCAGCAGGAGATGGCTGCTTTTTAAAAATTACTCCGTAAGATGGGGGACGCTCAAGAGTAGAGGATGCTACCAAGGGAGAGCTCAGTCGTCTGCAGGCTTCTTCCCTGTGAAACTGAACCAGGGTGCATCTTTGTCATCTTGAATAAAATGCTGAGAAGGCGACCGGATGCTGCTTCTCTCCTGCCTCTGTGCCGAATCAGGCAACCCCTTGAGAGCCTGGGCACAGAAGGAGGGAGTGGCGGTTGTGATGGGATGCTGAAACAGTCTTATAATGTTCAGCCACTAGGTGATGCCATGGGTAACGATACCTTATCTGAGCCGCTGGCCTCAGAGAGGGCAACTCATTAAAGTACCTCTTAGACAGAGAACAACTCTCGTGTCTCACTCTATGGCGGAAGCTCTGTGGCCAGTCCACATCTGGTACAAAGGCCTGACTGTCTGTAGCTGCTCTGCGATCGACCCTGTACAAGGAGGTCCTGAAAGTGCTGGAGAAGAGGCCTCTGTGCTGCCGCTGGACTATAATTTTGTTCTCTTTTGCCGGTTCAGGGATATCCTTCAGCAAGGAGGGTCTGCAGTGGATGCTGCAATTGCAGCTCTGCTCTGCGTGGGCCTCATGAATCCTCACAGTATGGGAATCGGAGGGGGTCTCTTCCTCACCATCTACACCAGCACAGGTAAGAGGGTCTGTCATAAATGATGGGCAGCACTTCACTTGAGACATGGCTCTGTCTAAAGCAAAGTTGTTAATTCTATCCTAGCACAGGGCGGGTCTGATAGACATCATGCCCTACCAACGCGGGAGTTAGCTCTCAGGGCTGTAGGGCTCTAGTTCAGAGGTTCAGTAACACAAAGCCAGTGTACTGTGTCTAGAGTGAAGAGCTGATGCCAGCCTTATTCCTTATGTCTTTAAAGGGAAAGTAGAAGTCATTAATGCAAGAGAGGTGGCTCCAAAAAATGCATCCCTGGACATGTTTGGGAACAACACAGAGCTCTCCCTTAAAGGTAAGGAGACGTCAGGTGGTGCTGACATGTTGATTCCAGCCAGTGGATCCTTGGGCTGTTCAAACTTTAGCTACTGTTGCAATATCTCCTGGGTTCAAAGTACTTCTGATTGTTCTGCATCTTGTGGCTGGAGTTGGCCCTACCCAGCCACCTGGGATTCTCACCTTCTCAATTGCCCCAGAAATCTCTTCCTCCTCCTGCTGATTGGTGCTGTGTATCGTCACTTGTCCAGGAAATCAGAAGGTACTGTCTTGTCCAAGACAGTCAGTCACAACAGTGCCCATTGTCTCATTCATACAAAGAGCAATGTAAAAAATCAATCTTAATACACAACTGTTAAGGGGCCATATTTTGTATTGCCATGAACAGCATAGCATCTGCCACTGTCGTCCCCATGCTCTGATAGACAAGAGCCCCTGCTGTTAGATCTCACCAATGCTTGTGTTGCCCTGAGAGCCATCACTCGACTGTCTTATTAATGGTGGCTCCAGTTGCAGACCTAGAGGGTCCAGAGGAGAGGCAGAAATTCTCCTGACTGGAAACAGAACCATCTCTAAAAGACATGAAGTAGCTAAACCAACTGACTTCCCAGAGTGCTTTGAGGGACCTAGGAAAGCAAGTTCTTTTGCTGGGGTACATCTGTATTTGAGAGGGTGGGGGGAGAGAGAAAAGTCTCTGTGGGGAAAACTGGTATCCGAGGACTACGTTACAATTTGGGGAGGTGCCAATAAAAATGGGACTGTCTCGACGAGGTGCACGTCATTGTACCAACCCATGGACTGAAATCCCATTCGCATGGGTTACTTGTACAATGCCACATGTCCACACCCAATAGCCATCCCAGTGCAGGTGGGTGCAATGAGGGTCCTATGGTTCAGCTCTGGTTTATTTGTGCCTTTCCTACAGTCTTTCTCCCTGTTTTTGGATTGGAAGCCATAAGCTGCTTCACCAGTTCAGCTAGCTCCAGCGACGCCATCCCAAGCTGCAGGGCCTCGTGTTGGGTAAAAACCCCAAACCCCTTGCTACCAGCAATTGCTTCAAGAGTTCCCAAATAAGTACAGGGAGTGGCTGGACCAAAGCCGGCTCTGTCACACAGCGTGATTGTACAGGTGGGCTGAAGTGTTGCAAAGGCAGGAGACGCGACCACCCATTTCATGCAGGCGATTCCCATCAAACAGCTTCCTTGCTAAGTGAACATGAGAGCCAGGCAGCGTTTTTCAGACTAAACTCTTCTCTGCCAAAAAAAGCAGTTTTGCATCAACTGAAACTGTTCGAATTCAGGCTGAATTCAGCAAGTAGCTTCAGCTTAAAAAAAAAAAAAAATTCTGCATGCTTTGATTTGACACTTCTGAAATGAAACATTTTGACTTTTCTTCTTGAAACAATGTTTTCATTTAGAAATGTAGCTGGATTTACTTAAATAGTAAATAAACACACAATAAAAACCCCCATATGTTTTGGATTGAATGAAATGTTTTGTTCAAAAACAAAACTTTGTTTTATTTTTGTTTTTTCGGTTTGGTGAGAAACTCAGCTTCCAGTCCAATTTTTTTCCTGGTTTCTCTCCCCCCTCCTCTCCCAGTTTGGCCACTGAAGCAAGAAACCAATTGATTGCTCAGCTCTAGTGAAGACCTGGCCATGGAAGGGGTCCCCTTCACTTCTTATGGAAATGAGTAAATATAAAGACGACTCTGTCTTTGCTCTTGCTTAGTGTTTGTTGCCCAATGGCCTAATGTATTCCCTGTCTGCTCCAGGGGGCCTGTCCATTGCGGTTCCAGGAGAAATTCGTGGCTATGAAATGGCTCATAAGCGGCATGGCAGATTGCCATGGAATAGCCTGTTTCTGCCCAACATCAAGCTGGCGAGAGAAGGGTTCCCAATTGGGAAAGCTCTAGCAAAAGTCATCAAGTCAAAAGAGAAAGCGATTGAAAGCAACCCCTCACTGTGGTAGGTAGCGCTTTGGAGCCTACATCGGTGCTATTCTAATTGCCCCTGCTTGGACTGGCAGTAAGCTTTGACTGCAGAAACTTCAGAACCAGCAGTATGAGCCTCTGTCATTTGAGCTCAAGGACAAACCCCCATTCCTGGCTTCTGTGGTAGCTTTGATCTCTTATGTGGACCAGCTACTAGTCTATTAGACAAAAAGAGCCACTCTCCACTAGTGTAGGTTACACTCAAAGTGCTGAGCCTTGAGTTTGTTTTAACTCTGAGGCAGGAGTTCCTTGTGTGTGTTGTTCAGTGAGCATGCATGGCGTTACTGTCTTCGTACTTGTGTCTGGGGGACCATGTGAATAGCATGTCTTCTAACTCAGCAGTCCTGGTTTTCTCTTGGAAGCTGTTAGCCTGAATACTGTGCAATTCAAAGCCAAAGATGTCTGTGGTGAAGCTCAATGTCTCAGCAGATTCACTCACTCTCTTTTCCTTTCCCCCTCAGTGAAGTGTTCTGCAGAGGAGGAACGATCCTACACGAGGGGGATGTCATCAAGATGCCCAAACTAGCAAACACCTATGAGACTTTAGCCAATGAGGGAGCAGATGCCTTTTACACGGGGAGTCTGGCGCAGCAAATTGTCAAAGACATCAGGGAGGCAGGTGAGAAGCCAGGGGCTTGAGTATCTTTTTTTATACACCCCAAACGTATTCATCAAGAAGAGCTGCAGAAGCTCCGCTTCCATGGATGAAAATCTTTCCTGTGATACCAAGTCTCTGATTTAGCAAAACTTCTTATAATGGCCAAAGAAAGTGAAACCCATTAGCAGCTGGCTGAAGTTGAGTCATTGGTTATAAGTCAGTAGTCATGGGGCTGATGATTTAGAGCAGTGGTTCTCAACCTTTCCAGACTACTGTACCCCAATCAGGAGTCTGATTTGTCTTGCATACCCCAAGTTTCACCTCACTTAAAAATTACTCGCTTACAAAATCAGACATAAAAATGCAAGTGTCACAACACACTGGAACTGAAAAATTGCTCACTTTCTCATTTTTACCATATTACTATAAAATAAATCCATTGGAATATAAATATGGTACTTAAATTTCAGTGTATCGTATATAGAGCAGTATAAACTAGTCACCGTCTGTATGAAATGTTAGTTTGTACTGCGTTTGCTAGTGCTTTTTATGTAGCCTGTTGTAAAACTAGGCAAATATCTAGATGAGTTGATGTACCCCCTGGAAGACCTCTGCGTACCCTCAGGGGTATGCATAACCCTGGTTGAGAACCACTGATTTAGCGTCTTATTGGAGATAAGCAATTTTTTGGGGAGAATTTTTTGTGCCCGATTTAAATTTAATCTTGGGGGAACAATAAAACAGTGAAGACTCTTTTCCAGCCAGTAAATAACCTTAAGTGAAATCTCTGATCCAAAGATCTTTTGCTTTTAGACTCATGGGAAGTACTGACTTCCCATAGCAGATCAGGTTCTGCTGTCTAATCTGAGATGCAACCACTGATAATAGTTTATACCTAAAAACATAGGCCCAAACCATGTGGCCTTAATCTATTCTGTCTGTGGGAATAGGGCTCTTACCCTCTGTAGGCCACTAAATGGTGACAGAAGCATAGGCTTAGCTAGTATCTTGTACATAGCTCTGGAATTCGCAGAACCGTAGTAACCCACCTATTGTGTTTGTCCTCCTGGAGCAGTGAATTCCTCCAGCTGACTATATACTGTTTTTTGTTTGTTTGTTTTTAAGCAATTCCTTCAATTGGTTGTAAATGCTCTGACACTTAACATCACTGAGTTGTGTCCCGTCCCCCCCACCGCCCCATTCTTGTATTATGGGATAATGATCCACAGCTTATAGCGCTTTTCATCAGATCTCAAAGCACTTCACAAAGTACGATGGGGAACTTGAGGGACAGAAGGGGTAAGAGGAATGGCTTGGTTTTGACAATATCAGTACATAGAAGCCACCAGTCTCTTCTGTCTTATCCTTTCTGTGCTCAGTCTAATCACCTTCATTGCCCTTCTCAGGAGCTCTGTCAGTTTTTACTGTATTTTTCTTAAGATGAGGTGATCAGAATTGGATGCAGCCTCTAGATAGGCCTGGGCCACCTTTGCATGTCTTGTCCCTCTTCTGTCACTTATCAGACACATCTCTGAACACCTAGGGCCAGGGACACCTAGTTTACCCATTTTCCTTCAGTTCTGTCTGGGGGCCTGTCAGCTCGTGGGGGTAAAACTCACAAGAGTTTGTCTAGCTCACACCATGCTCAGCACTCTGGTGCCTGAACTGCCAAAGTCCAGTTTATCAAAAGTGCTTGGCACCCACAACTGGGGCCTGCTCTTCAGAACTGCTCTGCACCCCACCTCCCTTGTTCTCAGTGGGAGCTGCTGGGTGCTGAGCTTTCTTGAAAATGTGGCCATAGGTTCTAAAGTGCCCTTGAGCTAAAATAAATTAAAATCACTCACTGTTTCTCGCCTGGGTGTATGGTCCACCTGGCTGGGCTCCCTCAGGAATGCTCTCTGAATGCATCCCTTTCTGGGGACGTAATACAGCATGGATGAGGCTCCCCAAAAGCAGGGAGGGTAGAGACAAATAATCCCTGTTCACGCAGTGTTGGCCACCTCTTTCCTTCACTGCACTCTGAAAACCCTGCATCAGTTCCCTTCCTGTGAGGCTGGAAACAGACAGTGCCAAGTACTCTGCTTGTGGGGGGCAGAAAGCAACTGCATCCACCCCAGCATTTTTCCTCCTTTTAAAACAAGAGGATTCTGTGGCTCGCTTCCGGATGTTACCAGTCTCCCACAACGAGAGAAGCAGATGGCCAGAATCCTGGCTGGTATAAGTCAGTCCAAGAGTGATGCAGATTTTTGCAAGCTGGGGATATGGCCCTGAGTCAGAAAGGGATAAACCCATCTCCATTCACACATCCCCTTAACTCAGTAAATCTGTGGAATCTCACTGGTTAGATCACAGTCATGGTGAGTCCACTGCATTCCCACCACTGGCAGTCACAGCAAGGATGGGGAAGGGGGAAGATAGGTTCTTCCTCCTACTGGAGATCATGTAAACCCAGGGCCACAAATGGCTTTTCTCTCTGTTCTAGGGGGCATCATTTCAATGGAGGACCTAAGAGACTATACTCCAATCCTGAGTGAAAATCCTTTAAACATCACAATCGGGGAGTTCACCATGTACACACCCAGTGCCCCCGTGAGTGGCCCGGTGCTAGCACTCATCCTCAACATACTGAAAGGTAAGAGCAAGCCTCAGTGATCCACACTGTGACAGGCGATAGCAGCCTTGGGATTCCCAAAGACTGTGGCTGTTCAGCTGACTTGCTCTGCCATAGCAATCCTTGGTAGATAAACAGCAGCATTCTTAATCGACCTCAGTTCTGAAGTGGCGAGTGACAGAAGGCTGTTAGCAGAACACTTTGTACATCTGGGAATCAGCCCTCTAATTCCATAAATGTAGGGTATGGCCTTAGCATATGAAAGAAAAGGCTCAAGAACGAAAAAGATTCTCTTGATGGGTGTCCTCTGATACCTGCATTTGTGGAAATGAAAGGGACACTGCTCTTTGAAATGTGCTTACCTGCCATTCTTGCGAGTAACACCTAAGGTCACTCTAACAGAAACTAGAGGACATGTTCTCTTTGAAGTGCTTACAGCAATCTGTATTGTCAGTGCCTGTTTTTTCCGAATGGGTCTTCCATGCAGCAACAGCAGAAAAGGAAAAACTAATGGTGACTGTCAGACCCCAAGCAGTGGCTGTGGGGGCTCAGAGGCTGGGGCAATGCCTGCTTCTGAGTCTTTTCTTAAAATTACTAGATTTCAAGTTGACCATCTTTCAGAGCCAGTTCCTGGTTGCCACCCACTGGCCATGTGCTTTCAGATGTGCTCACAATGTACTATCTACTATTGCCAGGATTTAATTTCTCCAGTGACAGCATCACGACCATGGAGAAAAAGGGTCTGACTTACCACCGCATTGTGGAGGCCTTCCGCTTTGCATATGCCAAGAGGACTTTACTGGGAGACCCAGCATTTGTCAACATTACGGAGGTAAATAGCAGAGAAGTCACTGTATTCCCTGTCCTAAAAGCAAGATCTTTCTGCATGTCCAAAGCATTATGAAAGCCAAGTGGCGACTGGCTTTCAGCTTCCAGCAGGGGACCCCTGATAGTTCCAAGGACACTTTAGAATTCTGTTTGCCATCCGCAAGTTGATGAAACACAGATCTGAATCCAAATAAAAGCCATATGTTACCACTGATCCATGGCTGACCTGCCAGGGATATAAAAAGGAATTTCCCCTGGTGTTTGTGGGCAGTGTGCAGCCATTGGTTTGCCAGTAGAATTTACAAAATATAGATAATGCTTTGCACTTCCATAGCATGTTATGTGTTCAACACGCTATACAGACAATAACAGACTATGAACAAGGATAACTCCACTTGTCTGCCTACCTCACGGGGATGGTGACAAGGGACTTCCATAAAGTGTTTTGACAATGAAAGACGTGAACTGGCCTCAGTGATATTAATGTCAGTGTGTATAGCCTTCTCTTTATGACAGCTTGAAATGCTAGCAGCATGGGGGTTCAGCTTTCTGTAAGGAACAAAGAATTTCAGACAGTTTTCAAGGTCTGATGTGAGCCATCTCACATGGGTTCCAGCATTCTCTAATTAAATCTTTAATTGAAACTTATTGGTAGCACTGAGCTGAATTTGTCTCTCCCAACAGGTGATCAGGAACATGACCTCTGAGTTCTTTGCAGATAACCTACGGGGGAAAATCAATGACAACACAACCCATACAGTCGACTACTATGAGCCAGAGTACTACACTCCAGATAATGCCGGTACATCCCATCTCTCCGTCGTGGCTGATGATGGCAGTGCTGTGTCCGCCACCAGCACCATCAACCAATAGTATGAGTTCAGACGTTACTCCCATGTAGGCCTCTGCCGCCTTCATAGTGGTTCTGTGGTTGGTATCAACATCACTGGACTGGTATCTCCATAGTGGGTTAGTCGTTGGTAGAGGAATTGCTGACTGGAACTCCCTTTACTGGAGTCGTGTAGGTACCACTGTTCTGGTAAGACTGGAACTGGACTTCTAGATTCTATACTTTTCGCTGGTCTAGTCCTGCCAGGTGCTGAGCACCCTCCACAGTCATTGAAATCCGTGGGAGCTGAGGGCACGTTACAGGTCAGGCCCCTAATGCTGAGTCCCACGCTATTGAGTAGGACACATAAGATCTAAGGCCTCCATTATGCTGCATTCAAGTCCACTCTTGTTTAATTTTGCCGTGACCTATTCCAACCCCTCTGTCCCTGAGCTTTGCTGTCTGGGAATCCCCTACCGCACTCAAGTACCTCTTTTCAATTAATGTTTCCTTAAATTGTCAGACTCTTCCTGTTCCTTTCTTTCCTTCTGTCATCACAAAGGAAGTATAGTTACTTCAGCTGCTCTCCCCATTATTGGCACACTAAGTGTTGCACTGTTGTTGGCTATTAAGAGAGTTCTTTAGTTAGTGAACAGAGGCTTTATCCTTATTTACCAGACTGCAGCCAGGTTGGCCTTTCGTCCCCCCTGCTCAGAGTGAATCTTTCCTGCCTGATTCTCCTGGTGAGCTCAAATTCAACCTATCAAAATGCCTGTGACGTGTCAAGTGTTGGGCTGTGGCATCACTGAATGAATCGGGTGCAAGACACTAGCTGGTTATAAAGACGATGGCAATTTATTCAGTTGCCGAGTGATTTAATCAGTAATGAGAAAATCAAACAAAGTACATGATGCTGCTGTGGCGTTCTGGTGAAATACTGCCTCTGTTCTGGTAGAGATGGGTCTGGATCTGAGCTTGCAACTCAATCCTATCTCCATGATGCATCTCTACCCCTAGGGCGGTTTGGATCCGGAGTTCAATCTGCACATTTAGGCACGTTTGGGTATTTGGAGGTTTGGTTTGGCTCTGGTATGGGAAATCTGGGTCCTGATTCTCTGCTGTCCTCACACCTGGGATAGTTACACGTGCAAAGTGTCTGTAAATAGAGTTTCCCACTCATGTTGGTGGCAGCGTCTCCTGTACAGAGAAGGTTACTACACAACGTGAAAGGCAGAGGAGAAATGGTTCCCCCAGGTTAGATCCAGAGGTTGGTTAATGCCCCTCTGTTTGTCTGCCAGGTGCTCTCTGAGTGCAGGCCTGTCCCTTGTAGGGTGGTGAGGTCTCACTCTGAGATACAATAGTTTCATGTAGGGCTGTCAAGCGATTTAAAAACTTGTGATTAATCGCACTAACAATAATAGAATACCATTTATTTAAATATTTTGGATGTTTCTACATTTTCAAATATATTGATTTCAATTACAACACAGAATACAAAGTATACAGTGCTCATTTTGTATTTATTTTTTATTACAAATATTTGCACTGTAATAAACAAAAGAAATAGTATTTTTCAATTCAAGTACTGTACATACAAGTACTCATACGAGTACTGTAATGCAATCTCTTTATCATGAAAGTTGAACTTACAAATGTAGAATTATGTACAAAAAATAACTGCATTAAAAAATAAAACAATGTAAAACTTTAGAGCCTACAAGTCCATTCAGTCCTACTACTTGTTCAGCCAATTGCTCAGACAAACAAGTTTGTTTATATGTGTGGGAGATAATGCTGCCCTCCTCTTGTTGAAAGTGAGAACAGACGTTTGCATGGCACTGTTGTAGCAGGCGCTGCAAGATCTTTATGTGCCAGATGTGCTAAAGATTAATATGTCCCTTCATGCTTCAACCATCATTGCAGAGAGCATGCATCCATGCTGATGATGGGTTCTGCTTGATAACGATCCAAAGCAGTGCGGATAGATGCATGTTCATTTTCATCTTTTGAGTCAGATGCCACCAGCAGAAGTTTGATTTTCTTTTTTGGTGGTTTGGGTTCTGTAGTTTCTGCATCTGAGTGTTTCTCTTTTAAGACTTTTGAAAGCATGCTCCACACCTCATTCCTCTCAGATTTTGGAAGGCACTTCAGATTCTTAAACCTTTGGGTCGAGTGCTGTAGCTATCTTTAGAAATCTCACATTGGTACCTTCTTTGTGTTTTGTCACATCTGCAGTGAGAGTGTTCTTAAAATGAACAACATGTGCTGGGTCATCATCCGAGTCTGCTATAACGCGAAATATATGGCAGAATGCCGGTAAAATAGAGCTGGAGACATACAGTTCTCCCCCTAAGAGTTCAGTCACAAATTTAATTAATGCGTTTTTTTTTAACGAGCATCATCAGCATGGAAGCATGTCTTCTAGAATGGTGGCCAACACATGAAAGGGCATATGACTGTTTAGCAGATCTGGCACGTAAATACCTTGCAATGCTGGTTACAAAAGTGCCATGCGAACGCCTGTTCTCACTTTCAGGTGACATTATAAATAAGAAGAGGGCAGCATTCTCTCCCGTAAATGTAAACAAACTTGTTTGTCTGAGCAATTGGCTGAACAAGAAGTAGGACTGAGTGGACTTGTAGGCTCTAAAGTTTTACATTGTTTTGTTTTTGAGTTCAGTTATGTAACAAAAATAGACATTTGTAAGTTGCACTTTTATGATACAGAGATTGTACTACAGTATGTGTATAAGGTGAATTTAAAAATACTGTTTCTTTTATCATTTTTACAGTGCAAATATTTGTAATAAAAAATAATATAAAGTGAGCACTGTATACTTTGTATTCAGTGTTGTAATTGAAATCAATATATTTAAAAATGTAGAAAAACATCCAAAAATATTTAATAAATTTATTTGGGATTCTATTGTTTAACAGTGCGATTAAAACCACGATTCATTGTGATTAATTTTTTTAATCGCGATTCATTTTTTTGAGTTAATCACGTGAGTTAAATGCGATTAATCAACAGCCCTAGTTTCATGTAATCTACAATTTACCTGAAGCTTGTCCTTGACCTAGAGTCTGGGTTTGACGTGCCTTCCCTTCTGCTTGTTCTATTTAGCTTTGGCTCAGAAGTTCGCTCCAACGTGAGTGGAATCATATTTAACGATGAGATGGATGACTTCAGTTCACCTTACATCATCAATGGCTTTGGAGTCCCTCCCTCTACTGCAAACTTCATCGAACCAGGTAGCACTTCACGCCCTCTCCTTAGCCAGTATCATGGCTGCCTTTTGCATACCAAAGTGATGCTGACTGCCAGCTAAAGAGCAGCATCCAACTGACCTCTCACTGACTCTGTACTGACATGACTGACATCATCCTCTGACCTCTCACTGAGTCGAGGTCCCTGTCACATGTCGGAAACACCTATGTTCTGTATACTGCATCACTGATAAAAGCTCATTAACTACAGATCAATTTTCCTTACTGTGATCTGTATGCACTGGCTGGCTGAGAGGAACACAAGCATTTGTAGTGTTGAGGAAAACACCTGGGACTTGCTTATCCCCAGCTGTCTGAAGCCCTCACAAAGGTGAGCTCAAAAATCACTCCAAGTGCAATGCTCCACAACTGCAGGAGAGCCTTGGACATCGCTGATCAGGGAGGCAGTAAGAGTGAATGTGGGAGGCCCTGGGAGCGGTGCACAACCATGCAGCATTCCAACAATCTGCGGGCTGCAAGTAATTTGCATAAATATTTAAAATGCATTTGTGTCCATGTGTATGCTCTTCCTCCCCCACAATACCTTTGGAATACAGCTCTGAAAAAAATACACTGTCTTTTTCTAACCTTTAAACCCAGGTCTCTTCCCTTTGCTTCCCTGGTTTCCATTTTTTTACAGGTGAAGTGGAGTCAGAGGTACACTCCCCTTTATGTAAAAGCTGCCTTTTGCCAATGACAAGGGTGGATCATGGGGCAATGAAGATGAGATGGAGGCAGCCTGGCTTCCTCAGGGGGCAATTTAAAGGAACTGGGGCTCCCAGCAGTGGCTGGAGCCCCAGGCCTTTTAAATTGCCTCCAGAACCCCGCTGCTGGAGCCCTGAGGTAGCAGCTGCGGGGCTCCGGCGGCTCTTTAAAGCCCTGGGATAGCGTCTCCGGCAGCTATTTAAAGCCCTGGGGTAGCAGCTCCAGGGCTCCCCTGCTTCTACCGCCCAGGAAAAAGCTGTCACCCTAGTGCTCTGTTTCCTCTGATAAAGGCTGTTGCTGTCCCTCTTTGGGCACTGCAGTGATAGGGGGTATGTGTGGTCTAGATACAGAGAAGTGCAAAATTCAGACACTAACTTTGAATGCCCTATGGTTTTGCCCTTTTTATTTACAGACAGAAGGGCTCAACTGAGCAATTGGGATCTGGGATTCTGAATTCCACCTCTAAAGCACAGCCGTGTTGGGCAGGATCTATAAAGATGCTCAGACCCACTGCAGTGCTGCTTTTGTGGTCCATTCTGCTTCCTGCTTATGTTTTCTCTCTGTAAATATTTATCCTCTGAAACCTGTCATTTATGCTACAGTGGCTCTGAATCACCTGAGCAGCCCAGTATACTGGGGTGATCTCCTGTGTCCCGTTCAACCATGTTTAAAGGCAGTATTGTATGGGTAAAGCCTAACATGCTGAGGAATCTGGCTGTCTTTCACTGCAGTATTTTGAGACACCAATGTCCAATTTCTCCAGGAGCCCCCACTACCCCAGGGCTCTGGGGGCTATTTAAAGGACCAGGGCTGTAGAAGCAGGGGAGCTGCAGGCCCTTTAAATAGCCCCCCAGAGCCCTGGGGTAGCGGTGGGCTCCGGGGGCTATTTAAAGGGCTGGGGCTCCAGCTGCCTCTGCCGCCCTGGTCCTTTAAATAAACGCCCAGGGCTCTGGCGGCTAATTAAAGGACCAGGGCAGTAGAAGCAGGGGAGCCCCGGGCCCTTTAAATAGTCCCTGGAGCCCCGGGCTGCTGCTGCTACCCTGGTTGGGGGGGGTAGGAGAAAGGGGGGCACTTACCTTACAGGGTGGGCTGGGGCTGGCTCTGACCCCCCATCAGCCCCGCCCCTTCCGCCCTAGGTCCCGCCCCTTCCGGGGGCCAGAGCTGGTCCCAGCATACCTGTAAGTCACTCAACTTACTTTCACCCCTGGATGGGGGGCCAGGGGTTTAGTGCAAGGGATCCTCCCCAATCAGATCTAGAGCTACAGAGGTTCTCACCCAGACAGGAAAGTGACCAGGAAGGGCCCATTCCTCAAGGATGAATTCTGAAGCGGACCCCTGGCCTCCAGTGTATGGGTGCACACATCTGGATAGCTGGCACACTGAGGTGTGCCCATATGTCAGGGACCAGCTTAAAGCCCTTGTAGTTCTCACTCCCACCCCCTCTACAAAGCCAACGACAGGGGAGAATCCCCTTGGCAGCTGAAGAGAGAGACTTGTGCGCTGAATCAGCAGATCTGGGATCTGCAAAAGACCATCGGTAGCAGTGTTCTGTATTTCTAGCCTAAGCAAGCTATGGCGGTGTGGGCTCAGATGCTGAGCATGTAATTAAGTACAAGTTAATGTCTGTGTGCACTCTTACAGGTAAACGGCCCCTGTCCTCCATGTGTCCATCAATCCTAGTGGATAAAACAAATAAGATCAAGATGGTGGTTGGTGCCTCTGGAGGAACAAAAATCACCACAGCAACAGCACTGGTATGTGTCACTGTGGGATGGATAAGGAGACAGATAGTAGAGGCCAGACAAGGTTGGAGAGGTGGCTGAGTCACTCCATCCTGCTTCTCATTGGGAAGGCTCCCATGAGATTGCCTTGAGATTCATAAATTTTAAGGGTAGAAAGAAACATTTTGACGATCTAGTCTCACCCCCTACAAAATGCAGACCCTCACCCAGTAATTTCTGCATCAAGCCCATAATGTCTGTGTGAACTATAGCATATATTTTAAGACATCATCTGGATATAAAGACTGCAAATGATGGAGAATCCACAGCCGCCCTGTGTAAGTTCTTCCAGTGGTTACTTGCCGTCACTGTTAAAAACCTGCACCATAATACTAGTCTGAATTTGTCATTTCCAACCATAGGATCCCATTTTGCCTTTTCCTGTTTGGTTAAAAAGCCACTTACTGACTAATCTCTTCCCCATGTAGGTAGTAATAGACTGTGATCAAGTCACCTCTTAACCTTCTCTTGGAGTAAACTCAATGGAGAGATTTAGGAAGCTCAGTCTATGAGGAGTTTCAGAGTAGCAGCCGTATTAGTCTGTATTCGCAAAAAGAAAAGGAGTACTAGTGGCACCTCAGAGACTAACCAATTTATTTGAGCATAAGCTTTTGTGAGCTACAGCTCACTTCATCGGATGCATACCGTGGAAAATACAGTGGGGAGATTTATATACACACAGAACATGAAAAAATGGGTGTTACCATACACACTGTAAGGAGAGTGATCACTTAAGATTTCTGAGCACGTGAAAATTTGTATCTGTCTCTTTGCATTTTCCTGAGTGCAAAAGGGTGAATTTTTTTTAGGCTGCTGAAGGAGTTAGTGGGTCAATAACACTTGGTTAGCAAATACAATAGTCTACTATCCTTGGAGGTAAGGAATCCAAGTCAGATTTGGTACAATGTTCCAAGCTTCTGAGGTAGCTTTCATGGTGTGCCCTGCTTTGGGGTGATAACGGTCCAAGTTTCAGAGGAACAGCCGTGTTAGTCTGTATTCGCAAAAAGAAAAGGAGTACTTGTGGCACCTTAGAGACTAACCAATTTATTTGAGCATGAGCTTTCGTGAGCTACAGCTCACTTCATCAGATGTAACTTCATCAGATGTAACGGTCCAAGTACATTTTAACAGAAGACCAGCAGAGGCTGCTGTTGAGCCTCATTCAGTATAACTTATTGACAATTAAGGGGACAATCTAGGTCACTTACCTCACAGGCATGCAAAGTTATTAACTTATCCAATATTTATGTTTCTGAGAGCTACATGGTTTGCGTGGGAACTGCTCCTTCATGCATTTCTCCACATGCAGGACTCTCAAATGCCAGCTGTGCTGCACAGCTACAGTTCAAATTTACTGGAACTCTGAATGCATCTGATGAAGTGAGCTGTAGCTCACGAAAGCTTATGCTCAAATAAATTGGTTAGTCTCTAAGGTGCCACAAGTCCTCCTTTTCTATTTACTGGAACTCTAACTTGGCTTAATTTGAGTCCACTTTAGAAATGTGGATCCTCATGATTCACTGTACAAACTTCTTACAGAAGCAGCCTTACGAAGTGTTTATGGTTATCACAGGAAGAAGCTGTCACCCTAGTGCTCTGCTTCCTCTGATAAAGGCTGTTGCTGTCCCTCTTTGGGCACTGCAGTGATAGGGGGTATGTGTGGTCTAGATACAGAGAAGCGCAAAATTCAGACACTAACTTTGAATGCCCTACAGTTTTTCCCTTTTTATTTAGAGACAGAAGGGTTCAGCTGAGCAATTGGGAACTGGGATTCTGAATTCCACCTCTAAAGTACAGCCATGTTTTGGCAGGATCTATAAAGACACTTAGACCCATTACAGTTCTGCTTTTGTGGTCCATTCTGCTTCCTGCTTAAGTTTTTTCTCTGTAAATATTTATGCAGTAGTGGGTCTGAATCTCCTGAGCAGCCCTGTATACTGGGGTGATCTCCTGTGTCCCGTTCAACCATGTTTAGAGGCAGTATTGTATGGGTAAAGCCTAACATGCTGAGGAATCTGGCTCTCTTTCACTGCAGTATTTTGAGACACCAATAACCGATTTCTCCAGGTGCAGGTCATGTACTAATGCTGCGGCTTTCTGCTTCATCCAGACAATCATCAAATCCCTCTGGTTCGGGTACGATATGATGAAGGCTGTGGAAGACCCTCGACTTCATGATCAGCTGTTTCCCAGTGTCACAGAGCTGGAGCAGAATGTAGAGCAGGTCTGTCTTCTCTGGGAAGGATTGAGGTTGGGGGTATGATGTCACACATGATCCTGGTCTCCGCAGGCACCGTGGGAATGTCTTCCCTTTGTTCCATTGCATAATGTTTGTCTGTTTATGAACATAAGAATTAAAGCTGGGCAAAGCTTTGGCCTTAGTCCACAACAAGGAGTTCAAGGGCCCACCCATGGGGGTTTGCACTTGGAATTTTGGCTGCAAACAAAGCCGGAAATGCCAGTACTACAGAGCTGCCCTTGGATTTGCCTGGAGGGAATTTAATGCTGTCCTTGGCCCTGCATAGCTTAAAAACTTTTTAAAATACTCAGCCTGGGCTCGGCATGAAGTTTGTAATGACTACAAACCCAGTGAATTTCAACAGGCTTTGTCTCTTAATGTATTACTCTCTTCGTGATCCTGAAGAGTTGGGTATGAAGCTGAGTCATTCTATGGCACCTGAAGGATGGCCAAGGAGCTATTCATTCAGTGCTGAGATCACCCTTGGAAATCCATAGAAAACTTCCACTTACATGGGACCTTTGCTGTCCTGTCAATGCATTGTTACACTGGGGTAAAACCTGCCTTCAGTCTGGATTCAGAATGGCAGATACCACTCCACTCAAGCCAGCAGACCTGCTTCTCTGACTCACTTCTCTGATACACTAATCTGTCACCCTAGTGCTCTGCTTCCTCTGATAAAGGCTGTTGCTGTCCCTCTTTGGGCACTGCAGTGATAGGGGGGTATGTGTGTCTAGATACAGAGAAGTGCAAAATTCAGACTTTGAATGTCCTAGGGTTTTTGTCCTTTTTATTTCGAGACAGAAGGGCTCAACTGAGCAATTGGGATCTGGGATTCTGAATTCCACCTTTGTCATAACCATACAGCTAAGGGTAGCATAAAATCCCTCCTTTACCTGTAAGGGATTAAGAAGCTCGAATAACCTGGTTGGCACCTGACCAAAAGGACCAACAGGGGAAGAAGATCCTTTCAAATCTGTGGGGGGAGGGTTTGTTTATGTGGCCTTTTGTTGTTCTCTCTGGGACAGAGACGGACTAGGGCAGGAAAAACCATCTCCTAAAACCCTACCTGAAATAAGCATCCAAGAATAAAACAATTAAGGAAACGCATTAGTTTATCTTTTGTTTTAGCTTGTGAATTCTTCCCTAAGAGGGAGGTTTATTCCTGTTTTTTGTAACTTTAAAGTTTTGCGTAGAGGGGAATCCTCTGTGTTTTAAATCCTATTACCCTGTAAAATTATCTTCCATCCTGATTTTACAGAGGGGCTTCTTTTACTTTTTATTTATAACAAAGTTTTGTTTTTAAAACTTGATTGGTTTTTAGTGTCCTAAAAACCCAAGGGCTCACCTTGTTTACCTATTTGGTTGGTATATTATTCTCAAGCTTCCCCAGGAAAGGGGGTGAAGGGGCTTGGGGGGGATATTTTGGGGAAACAGGAACTCCAAGTGGTCGTTTTCCTGAATCTTTGTCTAACTCACTTGGTGGTGGCAGCGATACTGTCCAAGGACAAGGAAGAATTTGTACCTTGGGGAAGTTTTTAACCTAAGTTGCTAGAATTAATCTTAGGGGGGTCTTTCATGCAGGTCCCCACATCTGTTCCCCAGTGGGAAGGGAATCCTGACATCCTCTAAAGCACAGCTGTGTTTGGGCAGGATCTATAAAGACCCCCCAAACCCACTGCAGTTCTGCTTTTGTGGTCCACTGTGCTTCCTGCTTATGTTTCCTCTCTATACAAAGCACACCACTGAATTGCACACATCATTTTCCCAAGCTCATACAATGTGCATTCCTTTGCCTTTATCCACATTGAATGTCATCTGCCATTTTGTTGCCCAGTCACAGAGTTTTGTGGGATTCCTTTGTGACCTGCTTTGGCCTTAACTGTCTTGAATAATTGTGTATCATCTGCAAATTTTGCCAACTCATTGTTTATCCCTTTTTCTAGATCATTTATGAAAATGTTGAACAGTATTGGTCCCAGTATAGACCCTTGGGGGACACCACTATTTACCTCTCTCCATTCTGAAAACTGATCATTGTTTACTATCTTTTAACCAGTTACTGATCTATGAGAGGACCTTCCCTCTTATCCCATGACAGCTTGCTTTGCTTAAGAACCTTTGGTGAGGGAACCTGTCAAAAGCTTTCTGAAAATCTAAGTATACACGATCTCCACTGGATCACTCTTGTTCACATGCTTGTTGACACCCTCAAGCACTCTATTTAGATTGGTGAGGCATGAGTTCCCTTTACGAACAATCATGTTGACTCTTCCCCAGCAAATCATGTTCATCTATGTGTCTGACAATTCTGTTCTTTACTATAGTTTCAACCAGTTTGCCCAGTACTGAAGTTAGGCTTGTAATTGCCGAGAGCGCCTCTGGAGCCTTCTTTATAAATTGGTGTCACGTTAGCTATCCTCATCTGGTATAAAAGCTGCTTTAAATGATAGGTTACAAACCACAGTTAGTAGTTCTGCACTTTCACATTTGAGTTCCTTCAGAATTCTTGGGTGAACACCACCTGGTCCTGGTGACTTATTACTATTTAGTTTGTCAAGCTGTTCCAAAACCACCTCTAATGACACCTCAGTCTGAGACAGTTCCTCAGCTTTGTCACCTAAAAAGAATAGCTTAGGTTTTTGGGAATCTTCCTCACATACTCCACAGTCAAGACTGATGCAAAAAATTAATTTAGTTTCTCCGCAATGGCTTTACCTTCTTCGAGTGCTCCTTTAGCACCGTGATCGTCCAGTGTCCCCACTGACTTTTTGGCAGGCTTCCCGCTTGTGCTGTTACTTTTTGAGTCTTTGGCTAATTGCTCTACAAATTCTTTTTTGGCCTGCCTAATTATACTTTTACACTTGACTTGCCAGAGTTTATGCTCCTTTTCTATTTTCTTCAATAGGATTTAACTTCCAATTATTAAAGGATGCCTTTTTGTCTCTAACTACTTCTTTTACTTGGTTTAGCCATGGTGGCATTTTTTGGTGCCTCTTACTGTGTTTTTTAATGTGAGGTATAAATATAATTTAAACCTCTATTATGGTGTTTTTTAAGTTTCCATGCAGCTTGCGGGCATTTCACTTTTGGGACTGTACCTTTTAATTTCTGTTTAACTATCTGCCTCTTTTTTGTGTAGTTTCCCATTTTGAAATTAAATGCTACTGTGGTGGGCTTATTTGGTGTCCCACCACCTCCACATGGATATTAAATTTAATTATGTTATGGTTGCTTATTACCAAGTGGTTCAGCTATATTCACCTCTTGAACCACATCCTGTGCTCCTTTTAGAATTAAATAAAGAATTGCCTTCTGTCACTTAGTAGCAAAACTCCTTGGAAAGCCGGAAAGAGGAGGTAGCTGGTTGGAGGAGTGGGAGGGTGGAGATGGTGGAACAGGTTTCTGTGTGGAGCTACCAGCAGCAGAGGGGACCTGGCAGTGGGGGCAGCTCAGGGGTACAGTATACTTGTGCGTTGCATGTGAGGTACATAGCATATACTGTGTAATCTCTGTCTGCATCCTTCGGTGCCTCTCCTGTTGTGTGTTTACCCCTTCTCTCTGCATTCCAGGGCATAGAAGTGGAACTAGAGAAGAGGAAACACGATATCAAGAGGACTAACAGTAGTGCCGTCGTCCAGGCCATTCTGCAGACTGCTGATGGCTGGGCTGCTGTGTCTGATTCCCGGAAAGGTGGCTTCCCAGCAGGCTACTGAACTCACTCAAGTTGCTCTGACAGCCTGCTGCTTTGCGGAACTAGCAACCAGCTTACATGTGGGGAGAGGGAGGCAGGGAATACTTGAGCACTGCAACTCAGGGACTGTCACAGGAAAGAATGAATTTGCCTGTGGTTCTGCTAATAGATCTGGACAGATGTTTTTGAGGGCCATTATTGAAAAGTGCCTTTCAACAGATCAGTGTGCTAAGAAAAAGCACAAATCTCCCAGAATATACAGCACCTACCTAAAGGGTCTAGTCCCTACTCCTGCTCACCAGGGATTGAGTGCACAGCATTTGGAAGGTCCAAAGCCCCAGCTGCAGAAACTGTTCCTTTATTTTTCAGCTTTATCCAGCCAGTGGCTGTCCTTGCCTGTCTTCTAGCAGTGACCGCATTCCCAGGAGAAATGTGTGATGGCGTGTGAATGGGATGTAAGGTGCTGGCCACTCTACACTGTAAACTAGTACATCTGAGCTACAGTCTGAAGAGTGATTGGGATAACTCTTCTCCACAGCCTCACCAATTTTTTAAGACTATCGTCTTGCTTCTCATTTCAGGAGTTTGAGGGATGATGGGGTAGCTGAAGAAGTGATGGTGCCAATGTCTTTTGTTTGTTTTTTATCTGTTCAAAAGCTGTAAAGGGAAGACAGAGGCTACCTGTTTAATTTATGCTGAAAAAGAATTACAGGCCTATGGAGGTAAACATCCCTGCTTTCACCTGTACAGTACACGTGTCCGCAAGGAACCAGGAGGCTCTATATGACTGAGGCTCTGCAGCAATTTGGCTCCTTGGTGCAACTCCTTCACGTCCCAGAGAATAGGCACATCTATCTACCCCCTTATCTATGATGAGTCTTCCCTTCTCCCTGCACCCCAATTTGTCTCTCACGATTATCCTTTCTGACAGCATGCAAGAGTCCAAGGGAAAAAGGAAGGAAGCATTTAAAGCTGAATATCATAGTATAAACCACTGCCACCCAGGGCAGCATGGCATCTTGTCTTTCAGTTACAAAGCATAACTTCTGAGGGGTCAGTTTGGTTATATCACTTTGATGTGGTGTCTAGAAGGTGAAAAAAGAATAAGGGGTGGGGAGGTGCAGGGTGCCCATCCTTAAACTCCAAATTTGATGCAGTTGAATACATAGATTTTTCTTTCTTACCTGCCACTTACCCCAAAGACTTGAATATTGCAGAAGTTGTGTCTTAGATGAGTGTGAAGCTGTGGTTTCAGCCAAGTGTCGCCCTTGAACTTTTGAGTTGCTTGCGACTTTCAGCCATCTTTATAACGGAAATAAGAACATTCCCCACCTTCAGAGCTCGGGTTCATTCATTTGGATTTGAGATGCAAGGTGGGTAAATAAGGCCCAAGCACCCTCGCTGCCTACTGAAGTCTCCCCACCGGGAAACCCTGTGAAACTGGCAGCCTGCTCCTCTCTCCATTGTCTGTTGGAGTTGGATGAAATCCAAGAACTCAAATATAACTGGTCTAAACAGGATTTTAAAAATCTATTCGGTTGCAATAACTGGTGGCATTAGTAACATAAACAAGACTGCATTGAAAATGAATGTTAACCTGAAGTAGCTCTCTAAAGAACAAGCTCAAGTATTTGTTCACCTGTATTTTAAAACAAGCAACCAAAAACAAAATCCACAATAAAACAACTAAATGAAAGTCAGGTCATTCAGAAAGTATACCCCAAAGGATTTTGGAGCACAATGGCAATTGTGTTCCTAAATCCTTTAGGTGTGGAGCAGGTCAGGAACTGACTTTTTCCTTCGAGAATTTCTGATGAAAACAAATGTTTTCATCAATTGTTGCTGAAAATGCTCAGATTTTGCAGTTACTGAAATTTAATTTCTTAAATGTTTTGGGATGAAAACTTGCTTTTCCAAACTCCTTTTTTTAATGAAAAATGTCAGTTGAATTCATTTCCTGTCCCATTCTATATAGGTCCTTTGGCGACAGGGCAAGATTCTCAAACTTCTTCCACAGTATGTCAAGGTTTAGCTGTCACGGTGTTGCTTTGATAATACAGAAACCGCAATATGAGTTATTTTCTAGCTGACAAACAAGTGCCAAAGTATGGCCTTCAAAGATTTGACCTGAGTTGCACTGATTGTTTAAAATAAATAAATAAATCCATAACTGTGCACTGACGTGGCATGATTTAAAGTCCCAGTAGAGGAAATTAAGTAGACCTTGGGAACTATTTTGGAACGCACCAGAGCAAATCATTCTAAAATGACTGCTTTAGCGTCTCCAAATCTTTATAATGACACCAGTTTTCTCACAGCACTCTAATTAAAGGAGCCTGATAAGCTCCTTAGCAAGAGTTAGGCTGTTACTATTTCACAGTCATTGTGGTGATTTTCAGACCCACCCCACAATTCAGTGCATAATGCAGGACCCAGGGATCAAGCCATGCGAGCACAGTCCAGGCAAAGACACCCTTGTTTCAGAGGTGAAGTGGAACATGTGGCTGTTCAAAACCGCCTTGCTGCTATTGTAAGAAATGCCAGAATGACTCGGGATGGTAGAGAAATGGAAACCACACTGCTGGTTCCATTCTCTAAGAACTGATCAGTTGGTGGGTGAGGTGGGTGAGGCAGGCTAAAAATTCCCAGCATCTACAAGCCATTTGTAAAAGTAGTTTATTAAAAATATAGCTTTGTAAAACAAACTTCACCTGGAAAATAGAAACATATCCTCTGCTCACAGTGTCATGTAAAGTCTATGGAAGGTGGCAGTGTGCAGATAAATTGGCCCCTGCCCTTGGCAGCAATCAGCCTGGGGGAGCCAAACATTGGAGAAGCCCAGGGCTAGACCTGAGTGATGCTGGGGTCAGGCTTGAGGTGTAATATGGTAGCAAAAATAGCTCCTTCCTCCTTCCAGTCAGTTCCTCATTTTTAAACACACTAAGCAACATTCACCCAGCCAAAAGTAATGACCACTCTAGCGCTACTTCTGTTCAGTTTATCTGCCTAGTGTTTTATGGTTCTACGTGACAGTTCTGCTGGCATACAGTCAGTGGGCCTGCTCTTGAAGAGTTGGGTCCATTTTTGAAATGACTGTTTTGGGCCTATGTAATTACCCCAGAGTGGCAACTAATTGTAGTCATCAGTGCTACCACTGAGATGTCAGTCTACCTGCAACTCAGGTCATTTGACTTCTAAATCACAACTGCAAGCACCAGACTGTCACGAGTATGTAGGTGACCTTAAAGAAAAAGCAGGGCCCCTATCATGCTACATACTATAGAATGAGTGTTCGCCAAGCAGCAACATTCTTTTATCCTGTACCATTCTGCCACACTTACATTTACTACTTGTTCAGGCAAGCACTTTAAAACGTAAGCCCCGCTTCAGGAAAACACATGCTTTACATACTTGTCAGAGTAAGAAAAAAGAAATTTGTTTTCCAGACAAAACATCAAGATCCTGTTGTGGTTCTAGTGTAACTATATTGCTGTATGAGCCAACAGTAGGATGCAGCAGGAGCTGCTCATGGAGGTTGATGCCATAAAGACAGTTTCTTGGTGTACAATTCCTGAAGGAAAACAGCTCTCTCTGTAGCAAGTTTCATTTTCAACAGCACTGAAATACATCTATAGGCTGACTTTGTTTCTCCAAGTTAATAGGTTTCTAAGTGGCTTGCATTTTATTTACATGATGGGGCTTATGGGTAGAAAAGGCAGGCATCCAGCAATCTGGTTTCGTAAGATATAGAATTTTTTTTAAAGGCATGTACTCAGCCATTTGTGACAAAACGATTACAGTGAGAAGGGTTTGCGGAGACATGAGCATGAGTTTAAAAAAAATGGCGGAGGGATAATGCGACTGGAGTAAAAAGACTAAGGTCTGACATGAATGCAACTGTTTTCTTTTCTGCATAAGATGGGTTAACAGAATAGGGATCTATTAATGCAAAAAAAGCCAATATAAATCTGTTACAGGCAAAGCTTTAAAAGCATATAATATTCTCAAATTCCTGTATGCAAACAAAGGTTTCTGTTCATGTAAGTGACTGCAGGTGAATTTATAGAGGCATGCTGAATCTTTGGTCCTATGAATTTTTCTAAAGCCCATCAGTGTACAAATATAAACAATGTGACTGCATGCCCAATCATACTTGTGGCAGGGATGAGGCACAGATAACCCCCAAGGCTGCTCATATCTGCCATTTAACAAGCACTAGGCTGCTCCCCTGCTACAGGGGTATTAGCTATGACTGTTCTTGGACATGTTCCTACACTCCTCTCCTCAAATTCTCTGAAAAACTTAGGTCACTTACAGTAGTTAATCAGGGGCAAGTAGTTTTTTGTGGAGCACAATTCTTCCCAAGGATACAGGCGTCAAATAGTCACAGAACGCACAGCACCGCTCTAGAACAGGCCGCATCATGTCTCACTGCGTTGGTGGGCGCTGTAACTGTTCCAGTTAGGAAAGGCTCATTGCATATTTGTGAAGATGTAACAGAAATCCTGCTGAATTACCCTACTCTTACCTGCACCCTTATTTTAAAGGGTCCTCCCAGAACCCATGTCACTCCTGTTTTGAAGCAATATTAATTTCCTTCTCTTGTGCATCCTCACTTCAACTCATCCAGGGGCCTGGCTTCTGCTTCACTATGGAACACGTCTCGATAAGGATGAGCAAGGAAATCTGGTGAAGGCTTAGGAGGGCTTCCCGCCCCCAAGGGAGAGGTGTAAGACTGGAAGATTAGCTGTAATAATATGTCATCAGTTCCTTCCAAAGGAGAAAAGAATTCACATTATCCACCCTAATGCACAGTCACACTTTGCATGGCTCATTTGTAGGGACTCCCTCTTATGCAGGGCCTAAGAAACCTTCAGTGCTGCTACAGAGGTGGCCCTCATTCCTACAGTAGCTGACTGCCGCAACAGACGCTGTAGTACATAGACCAGGTCTGTGCTAATGCTAATGTCAAATGATACCCATGGGCCAGGCAAGGGTCCTGGGATTGCAAGAACTAGACAAAATGTTGTTAGACTCACTCCCTTAGTGTGTGTCCAAGCAAAGCTGTATCTTGCAGCTCTGCTGTGCAACTTGGTGGTGCTGAAATACACCTGAGCAAAGAAAGTCATCTGTGATAACTTCCTATTTCACGTGAATGGTGTGGCCAGAAAGCACATTCACACATGGGGGGTTTCCAAAGCCAGAAAGAAACCAATCCCACTCCTATCTGAGGCTCTTCAGACTCTAGGGAAGATAGAGTCAGGTCCCTGAGGGCAGCTCCCACTGGCACTGGGCCTGGTTCCCCTTTCCAAATTCCCACTGCTTGGTAAATTCCTGATTTCTGGATTCATATTCTAAATAGCTGCTCTGTTCACAAAATATATTTCTATATATCACACAAGTGCTGGTCCATTGTTCTCTGGACCCAGCTAGCCAATATAATAAATGGAGGGTATGATTCTAGCCAAGACTGGCTGACTAGTGCCTGTAACAGCTTGAAGGTAGCTTGCCATATATTGGAGGGTCAGTTGTTACTATGAGTCTCACCCACTGCTCGGTGGCTTCAAGAAGTCCAACTGGTACAGGAGATGTCAGGGGTGCTTCCAGGATAGCTGGTGCTCTGGACCCAGTTATTTCATACTCTTTTTAGCTAGAATAAAATGTTTGCTACAGCACTTCTTCTTAATACCCAGATGACTTTCCCATCTTCCTTTGATCAGAATAAGCAAAGATGCATCTTCCTTCCTTTGAAATCCCCTGCACAACATTCAGGAATAAGAGGGGTTTCGATTCACGGTGTCCTCTGCTCAGCAATCCCAGCTTAACATCCTGAAAGGGAAGGAGCAGAAAAAATAAAGTAAGTCTCGCCGGGGCCTCTGTTGCATCTGGGCTTATTCTCTTATGGGACGGAAAGATGTTGTGCAACTGGTCCGGAGACTGGATTCAAATAAAAGGAACATCAGCTGGAAGTGGGACCCTCCTAGCATTTGGTGTGGTGACAGACACGGCAGCACTCAGTTGCCTGCCAGTTATATTTGTAACCCACACCAAGGACAAGAAACAAGTGCAGGGAGAACCAACGGAAGTTGCTCACCTCATCAAATTTTGGCTCGAACTGGATGGAGTTGTTTGTGGAAGCATGGAGAACTGGCAGAGAGATGGCATGCTCCAGGTCATAGCCAAACCAGAGTTTGTTCATGATTGCCTGCAGTGGAACAAACTCAGCAGTTAATGAAGGTGAAGGGTGAGCATCTGGGTCAAATTCTCATTTACACTCGTGCAAACCCAGAGCCACTCCTTTGAAGTCTTTGGGCTATAGCCTGCTTGTATGGCAGCATAAGTCTGAAGTAAATCTAGAAGTTACAGATTTACACCAGTAATATTTAGGATCAAGTGAGAGTGACTGCTCTCCCTAAGTCTGGTTGAGCACCTCTGACAGCTTTAGTTCTTTGTCAGGCCTCTTGAACCTGGTCAAACTAGTATATGCAGTTTCCCCCACAGGGCGAGTCTTCTCAAGACTTGCTACCTACCTAGGGATTTCCATTAATTACCCTCCAGTGATGTTGGTTCCTCCAGGAAACCCTGTAACTTCCTCACAGAGCCATGAAAACACCTATAGGGTTGCTACACTAGTCTTTTGCTATGTGCCCATATCTCACATAAACAACTGGCCATGAAGGTGCTGTGCACTATACCAAGGGAAGAACAGATTATTCCCCAAACCTGTTGCTCCATGGGCCCAGGATGGCTAGACACAGTTTCCTTCAACAGACGAATACTACCCTTGAAACAGGTGGAGGGACAGGAACAAACACACACAGATGTTCCCTCCACACCCCAGGACTCCACAGCACTGACTGGTTCAAATGAAAGGGACAGAGTTTGAATCTGTCTTGATTCTCCCTTGCCTCGTCCACAGCAGCACTTTGTGATGCTGTCTGAACATCAGCCCAGCTGTTATTAAACTATTAAGAACAATATCCAGCGCTTTAACAAGCTTCAGGGATGAGTCTTTTTGTTACTGGCAATCAGGCGTTCATTTTTCATTTAGCCTCCTCTAAAAACAGACTACACACTAGAACAACAGGCCCTAAGGGACAGGAGATGGGCTAGAAGGCTGATGTTGCCCATCCCTAACTGCGGCCATTCAAGGCTGGGTCAACACCTTAG